GACGCGACAAGAAATCGCAGGGAGTCCATAATGTAACAAATGTGCAGGAAATTAGCATTCTATACTGTAATTATTAATATAAATTAGTTATCGAGAATTAAAAAAAAACATTTCACTACATTTTTGGTTTTAAATTGACGTAACATTGTAATTAGAGAAAATTAATTAAAGAAATTCATAAAGATGTAATTGGCATACACAAACATGAAAATAATGCAAGTACTTATCAGACAACGATTGCTACCATTCCGCCAGATTAACTATATGCGGCAATTAATATTATCCAGTGTAGTAATAATGTGTGACGTATTATACTATTTGTGTGACGTATTATAATGCAGACATGTAACCATAATGGAACGGAATATCGTCTGAATAATTAAGATACACAATCTGCGAGGACAAATGTGGAGCGTGCATGAAAATCTCAATAGTTATTAATATCATTTTATCTTACAAATAGAAACAGCGCTATTTAAAATTTCGTATTCCGCCAACTGGAAATCTTTCCACGTAACTCCCTTGCCGTTTAATTAAAAAATTAAATTACATTTCCGACTCTTCGAGATATTCGCGATTGCGATGAAAGTTTGCATCTGGCTTGCCTTTTCCAGCGCTGAACTTTGGGTCGTCTCCGCGAATAATATTCCTGGTCGCTCGTGGCCCATTTCGCAAACGCAGTCTCACAATTATAACTACTCACGACAGCGGCAATTTCGCTTCCGATACACGCGCAGATCGACTTCAAAACAATTGTCAGTACCGAGGACAGAGGGCATCCGTAGCTAAGCCTAAGTGACAGAGCGCAAAGTTTTCGGAAGGTATAAGAACTGAAATTCGCTCGTAACACGCCCTAAATCGTCCTAACGTCGCGGCGCGCATCTGCACTTATAGTTGTTGGCGGTCTCGATACAATAAAAAGCCCGCCAGTGCTCTCGCTCTCCTTGCACCGTCTATAATTAATTAAGCCACCTGTCTTGTACGAGAGCGTCAACTGTGAACCGCCTAATGCCGCAACCGTGTCTACGCGCGGATCAGTCTGCTGCGTGTGCGCGTGTCTATGCGGAGCACTCGGTCGTGATATTCCTGGCTTAACGCCGCCCTCATCAAAATTGTAATTAAACTCCATACACGTAGTTCTCGATTCGGGCGGCTAATGCGTTCGCGACAGCTAGGCGTGTAAATAAATTCGCGCGGAACGAGTACAAGCGTAATTCTCTCACATTAAATGTTGGCGATCCTTTGTTGAGCGCGCGGCTCCAGTTTACGGATTTTCATCCGTTTTCAGCTCGCGGGTAGTTTTTTAACTCGCTAATTGCACAAGCCGAGAATTACTCTTACTTCCATCGTAAATTTGAACGAATTACTTTATTTAGCATACATGCCGTAGACGTAGCATAGTTTTTGACATATATAACAAACACGGTAAGCTAACTTGGTACTATCAAGAAATACTCTCGTGGATTAATCTTGAAGATCAGTACAAAGCACTCTTCATTCTAGACGACAGAACAGGCAAAATCCATATTATTCATTTATCGTTCTATACAAGCTTTTATACAAGCTACGTAATAATTGATTCATTATATAAATTACAATTTATATTTTTTACACTGTACTCTCTAAGAGTGAGTCAGTGGAATCATCACTGATTTTCAGTGTATCAGTTCATTTTCCTATAATGTTTTTTTTTTGGGCATTGTACTATACTTTGAACTATGACAAGCAATGACTATGTTTCAATGTTGTTTCAGTGATAATATATACTGTTTCAAACAGTGAATATTACTGAATAAAAAAAAAATTTTAATTTTCAACTGTTTGGCAGTGCTTTCAATGATGTTTAGTATTTAAATCAATATATTATCACTGAAACAACATTGAAATAATCTGCTTAACACAGTTCAAAGTATGCCATTAGAAAATGATATACACTAAAAATTAATGATTTTACTGATTTACTTTTAGAGAATACGTGAATTATTTTTATTGCATAAAATATTGTTATTCATTTTTTCTAAAAAAGCATTAGAGAAGTTTGCTTTGATACATGTACATAAAGCTTCTTTGTGTAAAAAGTATTCTCATTTTTTTTCTGATGGTAACACAAATATTGTTCTCATTCTGCTATTTTTCCGCTGAATTTAAAAAAAACAAAAATTACAAAATATACGTAAACTTTTTAATGTTTACGAAAGAAATTATCTTTCTTCCAAAACGAAATGCAGATTTTATAAAAATTAAATCAAGAGCGAAAATATAATTCACAGTTTTTAATTAGACTGCAATTTATTTATGATATACTTCTAAAAATTAAAGTAAAAAGAAATAATTGCCTGTGTCATATTATTTCAGTCATATAAGCTACCGAGGCTTACTTCACGTTATCGGATGTCGAGTTTGTAGAATTGTTTCCATAGTAAAGAGACTCGGACTATTAAATTAGCATGTTGATCTATAAAAATCTGACCATCTCGTTACTCCAAAAGCAGCAAATCCGCGGATTCGCCGGTTCTCCCAAACATCCATCCTCGTGTTCCCCCCTTTTCGATCCCTTCGTTCTCGCCTCCTTCCCGGCAAACACAGCAATCGTCGAAAAAGCGTCGAGAGAAATCAAATGAGTTTGCGCGGGAGTGACAATGGAGTTTCGCGACTGTAATCAAGCTACTGTGAGTGGCGCGCGAAAAGGGGCCGCCCGTGAAGGGTGCACGGGATCGTCCTGCGCATTTGAATTTCCACGCAAAGGGAAACGAGGTACCACCGATAGCGTCTAGAAATCGTCCGCGGCGCGACGATAGAGACATTGAATTAAGCACGATGCAGACCCTTAATTAAACGCTCGAAATTGAGCCATCGATTAAATACTCCCTCTCTGTCTTTCTTTACGGCAAGAACTTACGGCCCTTCTTGCCGTGCGAAAACCAAAACGTCTAAATTATCCGCGCGAATTCGTCGTCCGATAATACTCTCCCGGACATTAATAAAAGATTGCGTACAAAGCGTAAAAAATGTGCCAGAAAATTTTTCGTTTCCCCAAATCAAATAGATAATTTCAAATTATAGACTTATTTTTATTTCTTAAGTTAATGCACGTTTATTCGTTTTAAATTAATATTATAATTACTATATTACATATTGTATTTTTTCGCCTATAGATTATAAATATTCAATATACTCCACAAGGTTTACCTGCGAAAAGAAAACAGTAAAAGCTTTCAAATTTATTTCTCATTGGGCGTACAGAATGAAAACCTTTACGAGAAAAGTAATTCCAAAATATGATAACTGCGCAAGTGCATCCGAAGTTTCCCTTCGAAACTCATGATACTAATCCTTGTAATTAAAAACAATTTCGTGTGTAAAATGCGCCCTTAACGCAGCACGATGCGAAAGCAGAAAATAACATAAATAGCTTTCATTGTTAAAATAGCTTTTACTGTACGTGTAAACAGCAACGGAAGCTAATGGAAAACTTCAAAAAACAATCGATCTAGACTTTGTGGTATACCAATTTGCACCATCGTTATTTCATATCAGTTACGTGCAGCGATTGTTATATGGGGATATAAACAATGTACTGTAATTGTAGCAGTTATATCTTGTTTGCTGGCAAAAAAGCCAGCTTTACGTACCGCGACGTAAAAAGATCAACTCTTTCTCGCAAGTTCCCCTAATTGGCATGCTCTTTTCAAATGAGAAAACCGTCACTTTCGAGGACAGAGTTTCACAACTCAAATTATCTCGTAATCTCGGTCGTTGTAAACAATCGAGCGCGATTTTTTTTTCGAAGTAGAGCATAAACAGATGACACACCGATCTAATGTTTAGGCAATTTTGTTAATCCTGTAAACGCGATAAAAGAATGAGAATTCGCGTGGACGTTAACGTATCTTGTCATCGCAACTTGTTATTCGTTTCGCTTTTCTATGCGTCGACAACGGAAAAGAACAAACAAACGTACAACAGAAAGGAACAAAGAAACACATAAAAAACCGCGTGATCCAGCCGCGAATCTTGCCGCTGGCGTCGTGCGGTGCGATGAGCGTCGAAACGCGACGACGTAACCAGCGGGGGAGCTATTTTACGAAGGGAGAGACTTGACTTTTTTCCATGCTTTACACACGCATTAATCGTCACGCCGTTTTTCACTTCTAACCTGCTTCTAACAGCTGAGTCCGCAAGCGCGGCGTCTTGGCGAATTGCCGTCCCAAAAGTGGAATAGAAACTATATTTATTATGTCCTGGTATTTTCATTTTAATTTATTTTATGTCCTTACGACAACGAGCGTATTTTATACGTAAAAAAATGCAGTTCTACGATAACGAACTTTGAATGTTTCTTTGCGATTTCTAGTCAATTTTTTTTCCTTCGAAGAACACTATTTTTACGACAATTCTCCTTTTATCACAGTCATCAATTTTAGCGATAAATTCTTATTAATTCCTAATGTATGTCATTTTATTTCCGCCATTCTGATGTGAGAACTAGAATAAAGTTTATGTGGCGATTCCACTTCGGAAATACGAGGTGACGAAAGCTCTCGAAATTATATGGGCAGAGCAGATAAAATAGAAATTTAATGTGTAATAATAAAATGCATTTAGAATGTACATTTTATTATTAGACAAATAGGCTTGTACCTATTGGTTTTCCTGTTTTTTTTTTTCTAATAAAGAAAAATACATTTTATTTTCGAAATTTTGTTCCGAAAAGAATGAATTTTGTATCTAAAAGTACGCCTGATATTAGCCGAGGACACAGTATTATTAAAAGCAACTCTGATCCGAAAGAATTGCACCTATTTTTATTCCTTTAACGAAAACATCGCGAAATATTTTGCCGCGTGTATACGCGCTAGCATGCATAAACATATACACACACGCATGGTACACGCGCAACCGTGGATCTGACTATCGTAGAGATAAAGATTACGACGGAGAGATCGTTTTTCAACGTCCGAACGAATCTCGTCCGGAGACTCGCTGCAGGTGCTGCTTACCTGCTATCGCCAGGAGAGCGACGGCCGCTTCTAGCCACAGGTGGCAAGTCTTCATCTCGACAACGCGTACGGAAGCTGCGGCGATCCCTTGGCGAACAAAACCACTCGCGGACTCCGCGACTCACAGAGAGAAAGAGAGAGAGAGACACACTGAGGATCACCACTCGCACGCGGTAGTTAGGTCGCGTGAACGGAACTACTACGCGAAACTACTACCCAGCACCACATCTGCCCGCCTTCGCACACGACCACGATCTCTCTTCTTCTCTTGCTCGCTGGCGAACGACTGTCAGTCGTGGAACCGAGGCGTGGGACGTCTTGCGAGAGGTTATCCGCTCGTACCGTTGTGCGCCACAGGATTCACCGTCCGCGTCGAGACTGTCGAGAGAGACGCGCGTCAAACTTTACGCCGGAACGGTCCCTCCGCTCTCTTTCGCGACGACGGCCGAGAGCGGCTGATTCAAATCACCGAGAACGTTCGGAGTTATCTACTTCGCGCCGCGCTCGCGTGCTTCCGAAACTTTCTCCCCGACTGCCGCCTCGCGGCTTCTTTTCGTTGTTTTTTTTTTTCTTTCTCTTTTTCCTCTCTTCCGTCCTTAACGCGGCGTCGATCACGACGCGTCGGCGATCGACGGCGGAGTTCCGTTATCGATCACCGCGTGTGCCTTGTGAACGGAGAGCGCGGCACGAACGAAGGATTTTAAGCACTGTTGACAGGGTAATTGCACGTATATCTGCACTGGATTGCGACGGACGAGACTGAGCGTCGCCGCGCGAAGCAGTTCGGCCGCGAGTCGCGCCTGCGTCGACCGCCCTTCCATCCCCACCAGCGCGCGCCGACGATCTAGCTGCCTTCTCTCCCCCTCCCGCCCCCCCCGCGCGCGCCCTTTGCCGCCCGTCGCTCCGCTCCAGGTCGGCGACGCGCTCTTCGCTCCTTCGCGCGCTCTTCCTACCACGTCTCTCGCGAGTTTATCCCGCTTCCACCGGGAAGCCGCGCGCGGCTCTCGTTTTCTCGTCTTCCCTCCTGACGCTCACTTCTCGAACGGCCCGCACCCCCCCTGTGTGCGACCGGGCCACGCACACACGCGGCCAGCTGGCTCCCCTCCCCGAAAGCTCGCGATTTTATTCCGCACCTCCTTCCGCACGCGGTGGGGACGGCAGCCTGTGCCGGCAGTCCCGAGACCTACGGATTCAATTTGTCCACCGGCCGAAAGTTTTTTTTTTCTCGTTGAATGAATGCGGTTTGTTACGCGTGTCACCATTCGGCCGGCATTAGGGCCATTGTCAGTCTGGGCCGCACGCCTTTGCGGAATCCGCAGGGCGCAGAGCGTCGCTCCTTCGCTTCTTGGACACTGTAGGTAGGTTTATCGCACGGATCTCAATTTGAAGATACGTGTCCTCTCGGGTCTCTATTTTCATACTGAATTCTAGTCTTGTATTTTATATATATATATATAAAGGACATGATTAAAGCTGGGTTCCCACCGCGCGTGACTCGTCAAGGTTCGTCATGGCTCGCTATATGGCTTGGCGAGTTTCTACGCGTCGTGGATCCTTGTGAAATTAGAATGATTTGCTAAAACTAAATTTCCACAGCGTCAAGGCTCATGATCCGTCTAGATATGTTACAAAGATCAGTTCACAAATTGATAAGAAATAGGCTAAAACCGTGGTTTCACGGCGCGTAAACTGCGTAAAGGCTCGACGAGCCACAATCTCAATCTGCCATAGCTCAGCGAGCCTCTACACGCCGTGAAACTTTAGCCTATTTCAGATTTCTTATCAATTTCATGAGCCGAACTTGTGACGAGTCAAGATGCGAGCCAAGGATTACGATCCTTGACGAGCCACGCATCGGTGAAAGTCGATTAAAGCCCGGTTTCACAAATGTAAGATTAACTTTAATCTCGGTTTAACTTACTGTTTATCTCTTTCTAATTCTTAGATTAGAAAAAGATAAAGGGAGTTGAACCTGATTAAATCGAGTTAATCATGAATTGTGAAACCGGGCTTTAAGAGACGAGATGCCTTACATATGTTTTGTTATAACTTCAAAGCTTGATCGCTGTGACTCGCTTGAATGCCTACTTTCTTGAATTGTTCTCCAATTTATTGTAATTCATATATAATATAACGATATAATAAATATAAACATTCTTAATGTAAAGTAGATAAGAGAGCCACATAGTTTTCATTAAAAAAAACGTTTTAGGGAAATTATCACAGTGTGTGTAAAAGATTAAAAAGAGTACACAAGACATCAGAACACTTATTATATATCTCTCTTACTTCCTTTCTTTCCCTTTCATTATGATAATTATTTTATTATCAAGTGTTCTCCGAGTATCTCAAAAGGTAGATATAATGAAATAAATTTTTGCATGTTATATATACTTTTTATACTTGTTATATAAACTTTTTAATCTTTTACGTACACTATGATAATTTCCCTAAAACGGTTTTTTTTAATGAAAACTATGTGGCTCTCTTATTTACTTTACATTAAGAATGTTTATATTTATTATATCGTTATATTATATCGTTCTAATTATTTCCAGTTTACTGCATGTAAACAAATTAAAATCCTATTTTACTCGTATTTCATACGAATGAATTACATAAAATATCAAGCAGCCGCATTCGATTGCGCCATTAATATCAATGAAGCGGAAAGAACTAGGTATTCGTATAGCGATAGAGCCTTGCATCCGATTCGGTCGTAGCAAGAGGGTCAAAAATTGCGAACGTTCAGCTCCTTCCCTTGTCCTAATTCTGTACGGAAAAAAAATTCGATTTATTCTGTATCTGCTGTCAAATGCATCGAATTTCGCGAGATATACGTCGCGAAAACGTATATATCTACGTTGTTCTCTGCTTCCCGGAATTGATCCTCGCAGCGCGGATTGCGTTGCCCGCAGGCGCCACGAACTGCGTAATGACGTATGCTGATCGCTCGCGCAGGGCCTCGTTTCGAAAACACTGAAGCACGATATACAGCACGATATTCGCAGGAAGCGAACCAGATCGGCATAATGTATCCCATGCTAGAAGCCATAGATCATAGACTGAGTGACCTAATTTTACCGATGCCATTGAAAATGCTTCGTACAACAAGTACATCAGGCACACTGCTACGGCTTACAATGAACAGGCGGAAGTGGATTTATTTGTTGTCACATCACATTTGTTGTCGATATAAATCCCAGAATCTCAGAATACTCTTTAGTCACAGATGAAAAATATGATAATTAGGGCTAATTAATTTTGACCATAACGTGTATAATGCTATTAAAAGATATGATAAAGTGAATAAAATGCCATTCGTACTGTATATAGGCGGTATGCTATTGAATCCCAATATTGCTCCCCTTTGTGCTACTCTGGCAATTTTAGTTAGAAATGAGCAGATATTTCAACACACAATAGTACGCGCTAAAGCGCTACGAGTTTCATCCCTCAAGCTTTCCATTTTTCGATCATTCGAACGTATTACTCCAAAGAACAACATTAAAGACGCGCGTTAATTTTGATGAAATTTCTAAGACGTCAAATTTTGAGACGTAGATTAGAGGAATTAATTTATTTCTTCGTGCAAACCAATGTGCAAAGCAAAAAAATTTTAATTCTTCAGTTATTATATATAGTGAATATTTTTTAAAGGTGATTGAATTTTTGAAGGTTTCCGGGATTATAGGAGATTTCGCGGCGATAGATTGTACACTATTAAATCGAGCTCATTCATTTCTAACACGCGCTCGACAAATTTTGAAAATTTCATTAAAATAAGTATATCATCAATAATGCCGCATCTCCTGATTTCGCCGTGCTCCGAAACTCGACTTACACCACTTTCAGGATTAACAGCTCTATTACCCCTGCGAAACTTAGCCGCAATTCACGCCGCGGTATCTCGTACATCTCATTAATCGAGCGATTACACGTTTAATGAAGTGCGAACGTCTAAAATGTACCTCGAGATTAATTGGGGCGCGACTATTCTTAGATGCAGTCAAACTTTCGTCTCGGATGTCTCGCGCGCGCGATGGGATTCTGAAGTTCGCCGTGTGAAGGCTTTAGATTAGAGCGGATAATTCCGTTCGGATTTACGCGTGCGCGAATTTCCGAGCGTATTTCTATACAGATACAGCGCGGAAAGTTTCCGGATTGCTTAGAGACGACTCGGTGTCGATCGCGCAAAGATTTAAGAGTGACGGTATAAAAGTTAAGGGGGAAGAGGGGTAATATTCTCTCTTATCTATATCGTCGAAAACGTAAAACTCGCATAAAAACGCCGATAGCTGCGAGAGCGTGTTAAAGCATGATCCGTTTTTCCATTCCCCGGTACAGTTTCTTGGACGATGGGAATAGGAATCCTTATTCGTCGTCCGCTGGTGATACGCGGGATATCAAAAGGCACTTGGCGCCACGTATTCATGAATCTCCGATGCGCGATTTGCTGCTTAAACATGGAGTCGCCGCGGGAGCGTCATGGACCGGTCAGCACGCTCTTTATGGCGGTACATCCACGCCCGCAATTTATCTTTCCCACCCGCGCGCGCACTGCCGCGCTGCCTTTCCCTTTGTCGCTTTTCTTTTCTCGCCTATTCCCCGGTCTCCCGGCTTTGCTCCCCCGTCTCGTGAATCTTGACCCCGGAAACCGCCGCGAAAGAAGGGCGCGCGCAGAAGGAAGACGGTGAAGTGCAAAAGGGGGGAGGCGTGTAAAGGGAAACGGGGAAGAGGAAAAAGACGGTTGAAATATCACGAAGACATCATTCGTTCATCGCCGCGTCGTTTATCCGTATCGCCACCCTCCTTATGACCCCCCCATATAAAACGGACTTCCATCCTCATTCACGATGACGGCAGCGCGACGCGACGCGACGCGAACCGACGCGGCGCGGCGCGGCCGAGAGTCGCGTCAAGTCGAGGGCCGAGTCGAGCCGCGCCGTCGAGATTCGCAAGATCGCACTTTAATAGGATGGCGCGCGGGTGGGAGAAAAAGAGGGAGCGAAAGGCAAGGGAGAAAACAGGACGCTTTTTTCGGTCGTGCCCGGGCCCGCCGGCATTACTCTCTCACAAGGACAGGAAGCACCGAGGCGCTAGGCGGGAGGGTTGAGACCCCTGAATTATCGCGCGGAGTTATTTCTTCTTTCTATATATCGTTCTTTACCTCGAGGCACACATACGAAGGCGCATGCAGGGTACCAACGGACACGCGGGCGGACACACGGGCGTTAACTCGGGCACGAGAAAAACCCGGGGAAGTTAGGAGAAGCTACAAATACGTCCGTGCGACGAGCGTTTTCTGCAGGTATATATATTTATACGCGCACAGTTGAAACTCTATATTTTCATTTTATATTTCTCATTACGTTTCATATTTTTCAATTAAACCAGCCTTTTGCGAACGTTCACGTGCTTCTATAACAAATCCAAGCGGTAGCGTCGCAAAACGCAACGATTAAAAAATGTATACATCTACATTTTATGCGCAGGTGTATCCATTGTTACAAGGATAAAAACGTATAAGGTATTTCTTCTGTTTTTTTTCCCTCCCTCACAAAGAACGAGCGTCGCATTGATCCATCTAAAACTGTCCCTCCAGCTGGCTGGGAGCGTCTCGGACCTACGTGTACCCCGTTGTTGGTTCCCTGGACCAAAATGTATGCGTTCACCTACCGGCGGATGAAAGTTATGCGTTTTGCCCACGCCGCACCGTTACCGCGCCGAGCGCCGGGAGATATCGGGAATGGAGTCGGTCGGAAG